GCGCGTGATGAAATTGGGATGCTGGCGAGTCTTTGACGACTCTGGAGAACAGCAAGCTTCGGTAAGACAAAGCCAACAGACAGATTACTCCGAACGTCGATGTTGTCTCCATCCAGATTCTTTGAGTGTGGTGGCGGACGAAATCAGGAAGACTCGAGGAGGTCCGCGCCAACTGTGATACCATCACCTAGAGCGCGATTGATGTCCGGCTTCTTTCCCCGCCGAAGTCGCCGACCCGGTTGGTTCCTCGAGGCTCTATCATCCGAGCAGGAAATGCCCCGGTAGCTCCCCTGCGTGAAAATTTCCCTTGTGCCTTGTCTGGCAAACGGGAGTGGGTTTTGAATAAAATCCTGATCAGTCTTCCGGTCTAACTCAGCGATTCGGATTGAGTTGAGTCAACTGTAAGGCTCTGACCGGTGATCTGCAAGGCAACACGAGCAGGGACTAATAACGAAGTGTATTAGGTATGTACGGGCGTAGCGTACATCGTACATACCTAATAACGAAGTGGACAAAGATGAAAAAGGCTGTGCTACGATCTACGCGACTATATGTACGGTCTCGTGATATAGATATCATGACACTACCTCCTCCTTTCTCAAGACGAGTATGAGAAAATTCAAGTCTTGTTCCTTGCCCGCCGCGTTTTTTTCTTGCCCCGTGTCTCTTCGTTCGCGCGAAACTCCTCGATAGCCTCAACCGCGTGGGAGAGCTCGTACTCCTTCAACCACTCGTTCTCGCTCTCGTCGAAACCTTTCCACTTCACCAAAAACTCCTTGACTCCGCCGCGCGTCTTCCTCTCCTTCAAAATTCGCTCAATCTCCTGTTCGTCGCCGGTTTCCAGCTCAACGGGCGCGGGAGGTTCCTGCCGCCGGCCGAGAATGGTGTCTGAGCGGGCTGGAATCAAGCACGAGACGTGGAATACATCGTGGATCTCCCATCCGTCCGGTAGCTCGAGACGATACGCGGTGTCGGAGATTTTCTGCGAGATCTTGAAGGGCCCGTAACGCTTGAAATCGAGCTTGTGGCTAGGACGGGTGGAACGTAAGTCTGCGCGTTCGAGGTAGACACGATCACCAGGGATGTAGTCAGGAGACTCATCAACCCAGGCGTCGTGGAAGCGCTTCATCCGCTCAGCAGACAGCTCCAGCATTGACTTGAGGTCCTCCTGAATCTCATGGATTTTATCCAGCCGGGCATCCGCTGCCGGCACCGACTGAGACGAAATGGGATCAATGGAAAAGGTCGGGTCGTACCCATATTCGGCGTAAAACGGGGACATCCCGATAGCAGTATTGAAACGATTGTTGTATGCGAACTCGGCAAAGGGGAGCCAGTCCACCCAGTCGTCCTGATAATAATCGATGTAGGCGCGCAGGTAGACCTCCAGCTCTTGATTCATACGTTCAGTCTGACCATCTGTTTCGGGATGATGCGCAGTGGACATGGCACGCTTGATCCCCATTCGCTCCCACATTCGCCGGGTGAATTGCGCGACAAACTGGGGACCACGGTCGGAGATGACCTTCTTCGGAGTGCCGTGGAGCGACCAGACGCGTTCCATGAAACGATCACACATGGCGGGCGCGTCGTCACTACTGTAAGCTGCCAGGAAATGTGCACGCTTCGTGAACTTGTCCACCACCACCTGGATGGCATCGTACCCGCGCGACTTGGGAAGGGGGCCGATGTAGTCGGTGGAGATGTGCTGCCAGGGACCCGCGGGGATTTCGAGGGGTTGGAGCGGCCCAAACGGCTTCTGCCGCCGCGGCTTGATCCTGGGACACATCTCACATCCTTCCACGTACCGCTGCACAAACTCGGACATCCTGGGCCAGTAATAATTCCTGGCAATGAGCTTCAGCGTTGCCGCTTGTCCTGGATGGCCCGCTGGGATCGCGTCGTGGTAAAGCTGAAGAACGAGCCGCTTGCATTCGTCGTCATTCGGGACATACACAAGACCTCGAAAGCGCACCAAGCCGTCCTCGACCGTGAAGTCCTTCAGACGGGACTTAACCAGCGCCGGCGCAGCCTCCAGATCCCACATCAACGCCAGCATGGGGTCGTCTTTTGACTTCTCGCGGATGCGGGCGAGAATGTCCGCGTCAGACAAGATTGCCAGCTCAGCTGCCTTCGCACGCACAGCCGACTCACCGAGATGGCCCAAGGTGACCACCAATCCCCGCTTCGCATAGCGTTTCCGCACTGACGCACCGCGCAGTGGTCTCGCGCTCACAGCCACTCGCTCGGGGCGCAGAATCCGCTGGTCTACATTATCAGCCTCCCCAGCGGGCACCTCGTGGTCAGGACGGCGCGACATGGCATCGGGACCCATGCTCAAGCGCCCCGGCCGATGCTGTATGACGAAATCAAAGCGATTCAAGTAAAGACTCCACCGCGCTTGCCGGCGATTCAGGTTGCGCATCGTCATGAAGTACTGAAGATTTTTGTGGTCGGAGAAAATCTCGACCTTATGTGGGTTCCCTTCGAGGTACGGCCTCCACTCCTCCAGCGCGCGAACGATTGACAACAACTCCTTATCGTGCACATCGTAGTTTCTCTCCGCAGGCTGCATGGCTTTGGAATAATACGCCACGGGCCGCCAATCACCGTCAGCATCTTGCTGGGACAAAATTGCGCCAACCGCGAAATCCGACGCGTCCGTCTCCACCCGAAAAGGTGCGTTCATGTTAGGCATGATCAAAATCGGCGCCTGAACGAATGCAGCCTTCAGCGTGTTGAAGGCATGCTGCTCCGTGTCGCCCCATCTCCATGGTGTGTCTTTTCGCTTCAGGTTCTCCAGCGGGCGCGTAATGTTCGCGTAGTCCTCCACAAACCGCCGGTAGAAATTGCAGAAACCTAAAAACTGATTCACATGCTTCAGATTCCGCGGGGTGGGCCACGATGTAACACCATCGACCTTCACTGGGTCCATCGCGACTATATGTACGGTCTCGTGATATAGATATCATGACATCAACGATATTCTCTTGAACCCGCGCCTTTTAGGCCAGTGTAAAGCGAAAGAAAGAGAAAGAAACAAACAAGACCCATTCAGATATGGGAGTCGAACCCCGACCACTCGTTGTACAATCGAAGCAATTAAAGAAGTCAGTGGAAGCGAGGGTGTGCCGTACACGACAGTTGTTTCTTTCTGTCGTACCTTCTATACGAGGGTATCGTATTATGTAGAATGCAGGAGGTCGAGCGAAAGGGAGCGAATAGTATGGTCATGAGAAATTGAACAGTTCAGATTTCACCAACGACAAGTAAAGAAATGGGAGGTTAAACGGGAGAGGTATTTATTTAAACAGCTCCTGCGCAAGGATTCGATATCTGCTAGGAGACAGCCTCATTTCTAATCGACTTCAATGGTGAGAAAAAACGACCATCACGGGCCAACAGTCAGATGCGGGGAGTCGAACCCCGTCTGCTCGTTGTACACTTTGTATGGCTTATCGGATCATGGAACGCGAGGGTGTGCCCCACACGACATCTGTGTTGTTTATCCATACTACTGAGTACGCTTTATTGTAGGGAGCGGGAGACAACGAATGCACGCAAAAAGTAAAACAGTAAGGATTTTAACGACGAGGAGTTTGAAGTTGAACGTATTTATTCGCGCAGATATCAACATTCGTTCGTGTTCAACGCTGGAGAGAAGTCATTGAGGCTAGTTTGAAGGAGGGAAATGGTTGTCGTTCGGCGCGTGCTTTGAAAGGTAGACAGAGAGGATATCATGATTAGTAGACAAGAAGGTGTGAAATTTGAACTCAAAAAGAACGCGGGCGAGTACTCCTAGGTGGGGTTGTGGATGAACAGAGGCCTGGGTAGGTAGATCCAGAGTCAATTGTGACGCTGGAGCTGATGCTGACCGGGGGCATGAGGCCTGAGGCCTGGTTTGCGTCCATGCAGTCCTCTGAGCCTGCTCGTAACGGCGGGGATACGAGAGGCTCGGGGATGGTACATAAGACCCGGGAGCCTCGTACATTTTCAGGAGGAAATGAGGCGATATGCGCTCTCCTCTGCGTAGCGGGCGCGCAACTTGTGAGTTCAACTCGGTTGAACTTGAACAATGACGTCATCTACTCATCGGAGTTTGAATTGCATTGTTTCGACGGTGCTCTTGCTTTCTTGTTCTCCGTCGTTTCCGTCGTTTTTGTTGTCTGCAGGCAAGGACGACAACAATAGCTAACCGCGGGTATGGAGAGTGTACGTTTCCGAGACCCGACGCGTGGGAGGAAGGCTCGGAGGGCTCGGCGATGCAAGCAGGCGCGCAAAAACTAGACCACCAACTCGGATGTGCGCACTGCAGGCCGGAGTCGTGTTCGTCTTGCAACCACGCTTTTGACGCTTCTCCTTTTCTAGGCACTGCGCGCACCCGGCTCCGAATCTGCAGCTGTACACACGCCCGCACAGATTCCGTCATCCATGCGCGCCGTCCTCGTTCTCGATGCACCCTCCTTCTGCCCTTTCATCGCACGCGCCGTCTTTCATCGCACGCGCCGTCTTACTTCTGCAATGCGCGGTTCTCGGTACATTCAGGGCAGTGGCTAACGTTCCGGTCAGTGTTTTTGCAACACTCGCCTGTACTATCTCCTTCCACTCTCGACTGAATATATTTCCTGCCTTAGCCCACATACTTCATTTTGAATCAGACCTGGTGTACGGTACACGCTCGCTTCAACCAGGACAACTCCCTCGAGTTCAACGAGAGCCCGGGGTTCGGCTCCCCGCCTCTGACTTGTTGTTGGCAGGAAGGTTTTTTCTTTCATCGTGTCATGGCTCGGGCTCTCTTTCTGTTCCCCATTTTTTCTCCCACCCTCTTCTGAGGTTGAATTCACCTCAGTTCCAGCGAAATCACATCAGCTCTATTGACGTTGAACTTGAATTTGAATTCAAATTCACTCTCAGTTTAAATTCACGCTCAGTTTTGAGTGACGATCCACGTACGTCTTGCAAGATACATCTCTCTCCTGCCTCCGATCTCTATACATAACTCAGACGTGGTGTACGGAACACGCTCGCTTCACCTAGGAAAGTCCCCTCGAATTAAGCCAGAATACGGGGTTCGACCCCCCGCGTCTGAACTTCCTCGTCGATCAGCGTTATTTTTATTACTCGCTCTTTCAAACCCGCGTTCAGACGTGCATTGACAGCCGCCGTGTGTTTCTTTCTTTCTTCCTTCAATTCAGGCGCTGTGACCCAATCTAACAAATATTCCTTCCGACAGAATCAATCCATGAACTCGTGGTCCCATTGTCTTGTAATGTAGATAAATAAAATAGCCCGCCGTACCGGCAGCAAAGCCCGCTATATTATTAAGCCCCCCCCAAAGCAGATCCATAATATGATCGATTCACTAACTACGAAGACGGAGTCAATACGCGAAGCTGGTCGCTTCGCAGTACCCGATCCATCGTGCCCGTGAAGAGATAAGTCTATATGGCACGTTAAAACGAACACGAAAAAGCGACAAAGTGAATAGTACCATTTTCGTCGCATTTTCGTCGTCGTTGTCCAGCCTCGCCAAGGATCCTGTGAAGACAATATCGTCTCCTACCCCGAACCGCTCGCCGATCAGTGCAGGCCGTCCCTCCACACCGTATGAACCACGATCTCGTAGACTGCGCGTATCAGTTACTGCACCACCAACCAGAAACAGATTTTCACCTAACCACCACTGTTGGAGTGTCGTTTGCGTGCGGCGGTACCCCCCATTGCACGTGGGCGTTCTGGCTGCCGTCAGATTAAAATCTGGTGAGTCTGCGGTACATACTGCAGCAGCAGCATCTTCCTCTGCGATTTGTTGCAAGAATGCCAGCTGATTTGCCTGTATAGATACCGCGGTGTTATTCGCGTTGGGCGGCAATGCCAGCGTAACGATAGTCGCAGGTCGGCCAGTGAAGTCAGTCTGCTGGCGGTGAATGTTCAGTTCACAAAGTTTAGATTGGGTACTTACCCCAGCGCTCATCTTCACCGCGCACCCCAAAAAAGTCATCTTGAATTCCACCCCCACTGGTCTCATACCGAAACGTCGCGCTCCGTACGGCAGCCGCAAGTCACAGGACATGTAGTTGAACAGGCTGCCGGTAGAAATCGTGGAGGTCCCCAGACGGTTAGCCACAAATTCCCTGCCATACGACTCCAGCTGCACTAATTGTCGATTCTCGTCGAGGTAGCCAGTCATGAACAGCGAGAATGAGATGCACCTCCTATCTGTACCCGGATCGGACACTGGCAGTAGGCACTGCATCAAGCTAGATCAAGCTCCTGAAGACTCCGATAAGTATTTATATACCCAGCAGGAGAGCCATAAAACACATGCCCGCCTCGGAATCCGAAGCTCACTCGTCCGATCAGGATTCACCGCCGGTGCGAATCCCCGCAAGAAAGCGCAAATTCGCTGCGAGGTCATCATCCGAGCCCGAAACGTTTCATGAGGTCAAAGCCCCCAGGCTCGACACACCAGAACCTTCCAGGTATGTCGGTGGCGCTGCTTATTACCGTGCAAAGTCACTAAGCAGCGCATCCAGCTCTATGGACGCATTCGTCGATCTCGAGGCAGAAGAGAGCGACAGTCAGACGAAGAGTTCCGAGGGCGAAAGTCGCGATGCACGAACCTCGGAGGGCGACAGCTTAGATGGCTTTATTGTCAGCGACGCAGAAGTTTCGGATGGAATGTACGCACACCTTCCCATGCCACATTCTTCTACCCCATTCCTTACGGCCAGCTTTAGAAAAGGCGGTCCAGGTGACGACGATACGTAGGTCCCGTGTCCATGTATATTGGTACCGATTTGAAAGCTCCAACAGTCCTCAAGTTCTATCTGAACATTCGAGTAGCGACTCACCAGAACCGGCGCCATTCAAGCCAAGGTGAGCGCTGCCGTCTTTTCTTTTTTCTTCTCTTCTCTTCTTTTTCTCCTGGATAATCTAATCCTATTTCAGAGGACATTCCCGAGCACTCGAGCGTCTGTCAATCGCTCGTGCGGAGCGAAGGAAGGCCAAGAGCATTTTCAAGGACAGGCCGCGTGTTTCCCGTTGGGTCAATCGTCACCAGTGATTAGTACTAGTGGCTCATAATTTTGTCAATGGGGGATTATCATAATTCAATGTACCGTTACTAAGCGTCAGACCCCACCGGAGCAATGCTCGCACCCACGGACCTCGTCAACGTCACAGTTATTTCCCCGGCGAGGAAAGTATGCATCGTCATGCAGATCAGATGAGAGGACATCTAGCGAATACATCTGTCCGAAGTCAGTCAGAACAGTGGACTTACGCCCAGAGACTCACTCGGGAGAGAACGTCGTCAGAGGTGCCAACTTCATGTTCAGTCATCGTCAAAGAGACCTGGATCATCGCCGCCTTGTAACCCATGTACCTCGCCGCCCAATTCACACTTGGTTTTATTAGTGTTGTGTAGGCGAAATACCACGAAAAACTCACATATCGCCCTTCACATAGAAACACCCTGGCATTGCAGCCATTTGCATGTGGACGGCGCTGTTATCAAGCCAAGATGCTGCAATATCACCTTTCTAAAGCGCGCTTAGCCACAAACCGGAGTCTGTGTCACCCCACTCACCATATGCATCTTATCAACATCCAACACGTCGCCCAACAATTCCAACTGGCGTTTATACATGCTGAGGACGCTACATGCGGCACCAGGAGGGCACCTCAAACGGGTATAAGAAGACGCGCCCTAAGTTTCTTTCAGCTCTTAGACATACTCCCATAAAATTAAAATAAAATAAAACTCGTACCACGACAAAAACTCCATCGAGGTATCCGAAGACTATGCCAACGTAGTTGGCCAGATAGCCTTTCGTCCGGCCGTCGACAACGACCATGTCAGGAACTTGCTTGAACACGAAATTACTTCCACCATCGCTGGATGATTGGCGCACAGGTACGAAATCGCGGGGGTATTTAGCCGCATGCATGGATGCACCTCGGAGGCGGGTCAACATGGACGAAGAGAAGGATGGTTACACAGGAGAGCGATCGCACCATCAGAGAAACTGTTTCGGTCCAAAGTCTCGGTCAATGCTGTGCGGACATCCATGTCTCCATTCTTGACAGGCGGTGCGCGACGGTTAACAGGGGCGAAACTGACACTTCCAGACCACCATTAGCAATGCTGCAACGAATGCGTGTGCTGGGTCCTCACGCCATGGCCAACGCACGGTATGGAATCGACTTTTTACCAGTGCGCGAGCGGTCCATCGGACAAGGGTCGCTCTATATTTGCAAAGAAGTCGAAGAAGACGTTATCGTCGGTTCGTCCCGAAGGACGGGTGCTTTCGATTATTCGGGCCACATTTTCGGAGAAATCGACGCTGTTTTTGAGGAGGTGAGGCTCTTTCAATGATTCATTTCAAAACTTACACCAAGTTAGGGCACTGGTCCGCGCATATATGTCAGGCTTAAATGTCCTCGAAACGCGACCTGCGCGGTGAGGATTTTGTACATGCGTCAACTGGAAGTTTTGTGGAGTGCGCTTGATTCGGATTGCACCGTAAATCACATTCCTTGTTTATTATTCTATGCTGGTAAATCGCTGACGAGGACACAGGACGCCGTCATCAATAGCAGCTGGTTCGACCATACGAAGGTTCATGAAGGCATGGCCGCGGTCGAAAACCGTTTCTATGTTTCAGTTAAGGGTACAGGGTAAGTTCTCACGTATTTTCCGCATCATAATCAGCTCATTTCCTAGGTCTTGGGGGAACTGTTGGACTATAGGCGCAGATCGCGTCTTCCGAGCGAATTTGTGCAGGTACGATGAAGACCACGGAGCTGTGAGCTATCGGGTAAGTGTATTGTTGTACCGATACTTTGAGACTCACACCTGGAAGGATTACTGGTTGGACGTCGTTGGATTCACCGTGCATAACTCAAACTACGTTCCGCGCGCAGATCCGCCAGAATACGTTTGTGATGTGAATGGTCGCATCGGTTGTAGTTTTTGCACCGCGGCCACCTGCTAGATAACGGTTTTTTTTTTTTGCACGGCGGCTACCTTCTAGATAACGGTTAAGGGGGTGCTCATCTGGCGCTTCTTTTTTGTTGTACGCAATCGAAAGCGACCATGTGATCACATGCCCGGTGTTCCAATTTACGTCCGGTGGGACACGTTACATTAAGTCAACATTGCCAATGTCCTTGCTTAATACTGTTCACCCTTGCCTCGCAGAGGACAACAAGAGAAAATGAATTATCAAACCGTAGACTAGATTCTACGTATTGTTGGAGGGGAACTAAATTAGACTGGCGACCTCACTACAACGAATGCAAGGCACAGCAACTGATGCACGACTCAATCTCCGGGCGGAAGTAATCTTAGTCACTCACAGAAATCAGTCCGTACCGTGGTGGACACGTCCCTCACACCAGTGACATGTCCCATGAAGAGACAAATCGCATACATATTCCGGCCCTGCCTCAGGCATGTCAAAGTTGTCACGCAGCGGCCACATCTCCTGGACCTTCATCTTGTATTGCTGCAACGTTGGTAAGCGTGGGGACAATTAAACGGGAGGCAGAACACACGTAGATAAGCCCCCCCCTCGCCTCGTCGTGACCCTGGATGTTCTTGAGACACACCATCATTTCCACATCCTCGCCGATCCCTAGATGCTTGGCATACGACTTTTCCCGGATTCTGGGTGGCACGTACGCCTACTGGCCGTTAAATCATGGTTCAGACGTATGATGGAACTCACATAGAACATGTTCTCAACGAACCCATACTCGTCCGGTCTCCAATTGGTAGAAAACCACGAACCGACGACTACACCATCCTTTGACATCGTCAGCGGTGTAGGCTGAACCAAGGAGTATGACCTCACCGGTTCCCTCCAATCCTCCCTCAGCGCTTCTTGCAGCGCTTTCATTTGCCTGTCGTAGCAGTCTCGCACAAGACAAGACACACCGACGGGACACGCCACTCTAATCAATAAACCTTGCGGCTGAGATACTGTTAGTAGAGCAAGGTCACACAAAGCGGAAACCGCACCGTCTGCTCAAGGGAGTCGACCCGCCCAAAAACATTACAGTAATAAGGTCGGAGTGCGCCCCT